TTGGTGCGCAAGGGGAAGACCGTGGTGTAGCGCGAGTAGTCGTCATTAACTATCAGGAAGTACCTCTCCTGACCCTGACCACGGACGCGGGCTGGGCCCCACACGTCCATGTTGAGCGTCTGCAACGGAGCAGTCGTCGGGGGAAAAGAGGAGGAGTGAGGAGCGGCGCGCTGCCGCCCCTCGACACAGGGAAGGCAGGGAGGAGCAGGCGAGGGTGGGAGGGGAGGGAGGACCCTGGGAAGACCAGAGACAAGGTACCGGGAGTGCATGGCACGAAGGCGCTGCACAGACGGGTGGCCAAGTCGGTGGTGCCAGAGAACAGTCTCGTGCGCGAGAGAGCGACACGAGCAGGGGGCAGACAGCTGACCTGACGCGGACGCAGACGCAGACGCAGCGACCTGAGGGGAGGCAGTAGTCAGTGTGTACAGGTCCGACCCCGGCTGCCGGGTGAAGGTAGCCAAGTGGCGGCCTGTACGAGCACACGTGCAGTGTGTGACACGCTCGTAGGCAGGGGTGAACTGGTGAACACCCCCGTCCTGGAGTGCACAACCTGCCACCAAGTTCGTAGAGAACGAGGGGAGGTGGAGACCTGACAGTGTGCCCGACGGAACCGCAGGACAGGGAAGGACAGCGGAGGAGGTCGCAATGACCGGACCCCCAGAGGGGTCAGCGAGGGAGACAGCTACTGGCCGAGCAAGTGGCTCAAGGGCAATGCGGTCACGAAAGAAACAGCGAGAGGCACCTGAGTCCAGCGTGAAGGTGTGCAGTGCTGCAGTCGACACAGTACTAGGGGGGGCAGACGTACAAGCACCTAGAGCAGCAGCCTCACCAGCACCTGGGGCAGGGGACACGCAAGTACTTGAAGCGGCAGACACACGAGTCCTAATGCCCGGGTCGGGCGGGACACTCAGGTACTCAGCACCCTCTCCACTACTAGACATCACATACATGGCAGTGAGAATAGCATCAAAGTCTAGAGCATAGATATCAATCCCCTTCTTCAGAAGATCAATCCAGCGGGGCAGCTCAGTGGCTTGAGGGAACTGAACACACCAAGCGTCGTTCAGACGAGCGAAGCAACGCTGTGTGGCGTGCGGTCCCCCACACGGCTGGCCAGTGCGGTCACCAGTGCGAATGACGTACGTGCAGCTAAGGCCACCCCCCCCCCCCCCCCCCCCCGTGCTGAGAGTACCACTCACGGACCTCCTGGGGCGACGGAGTGTGCTGCTGGCCCTGGCCACCGCCAGTGCCTCCACGACCACCACCGCCGCTACCACCTCCTCGACCACCCCAACCCCGGCCGCTGCCTCGTCCACTGCCACCCCCACCACCTCCTCCGCCCCGGCCACCTCCCCCGCCGCTGCCGCCACCCCCCCCACTGCTGCCACCTCCCCCACCCGCGCCACCACCCCCGCCACCACCACCTCCCCCACCACCGCCACCCCCGCTGTCACCACCACCACCCTTGCCCCCTTTGCCCTTGCCGCTGCGGCGCCCGCTCGAAGCAGACGCAGTCCCGACCTTCTCAGCAGCAAGGAGGTCGACAGCAGCAGCAGAGGCGTCAGAGGGAAGAAGGGGGGAGGGAGAACACCCCTCAAAGAACGGGGTACGGGGGTCGCCACGAGAGGCACCTACAACGACTATGCTAGCCTCAGCTGCAAGGAGTTCCTTCTCGAGGAGGGCAATGGTGAGCTCAGTGGGGCAGCGAGCTAGGAAGTGGTCCCTGACTGAGCGCAGAGTGTCAGGGAGGCGCGTGACTAGGTGGTAGAGAGTGAGCCAGAGCAGGGGTGGGTTCGTGGCAAGGAACTCATCAGGCATAGCAGCGCGGAAGCGAGCCTCACTAGTGCGGAGGTGGGTGATGAGATCAGCGACTGTGTGGAAAGAAGCTAAGTCGGGGAACAGGTAGAGAAGAGAGAGACGGCCTAGTGCGGCAGAGGCCGGTGAGGAGTAGCGGGCAACAACAGCAGTGTACAGTGCCCGCGCAGTCTTGTGCTGCCCAAAGTGCTCGCGCTCATCTATCGGCAGAGAGTTGCGAATAGCGAAGCGAGCATGGGCGTCACGAGTCTGCCACTGTGAGCGGGCCGTGCTGTCAGCAGTAGCAGCAGGAGCAGTAGCGTGGCCTAGGGCGTGATCGTACAGTGAGATGTCTTCCTTGGCAGTGAGTTGTAGGAAGAGGTGTAGGTCATCAAGCCAGGTGTCGAACTTCACTGGGCGGCCCTCAGCATCGAAGGCTAGCTCAGGAGGGCTAGCCATGGTAGCAGCAGCGGGAAAAGCAGGAGGAGCACTCAAAGGTTAGGTAGGGCGGTGCGGCTCGGTATAGGTAGGGCGGCGCGGCTCGGTACAGGTAGGGCGGCGCGGCTCGGTTCGGGCGGCGCGGCTCGGTTAGGGCTGGGCGGCTCGGGTCGGGCGGCTCGGTTCGGGCGGCGCGGCTTGGTTCGGACTGGGCGGCTCGGTTCGGGCGGCTCGTTCTGGGTGGGGCCGTTCGGGGCCTAAAGAGGCGAGCGTGGGGAGCGGGTGGGGCCGATCGGGGCCGTTAGGGATGAGCGCGGGGCCGACGTGGGCCTCTAAGGGCGAGCGCGGGGCCAATCGGGGCCGTTAGGGACGAGCGCGGGGTTGAAAAGGGGCCGTGAGGGACGAGCGCGGGGCCGTAAGGGCAAACGCGGGGCCTCCCGGGGCCGTAGGGACGAGTGCGGGGCCGATTCGGGGCCTTGAAGGGCGAGCGCAGGGCCGTTCAGGGCCTCTAAGGGCGAGCGCGAAGCCGTTGTGGGCCTCTAGGGGCAAACGCGGGGCCGTTCGGGGCCCGTAAGGGCATGCGCGGGGCCGATCGGGGCCGTTACGGACGAGCGCGGGGCCGACGTGGGCCTCTAAGAGCGAGCGCAGGGCCGATCGGGGCCTCTAGGGGTAAGCGCAGGGCCGATTCGGGGCCTCTAAGGGCGAGCGCGGGGCCGATCGAGGCCTCTAGGTACGAGAGCGCGGGGCCGACGGGGCCTCTAGGGGCGTGAAAGCCGAGGCGCCCTAGGGCGCAGGTAGGTAGGTAGGTAGGTAGTGGTGGGCCCTAAGAATCGGTCCTAGGAAGGACCTGCTCTATACCATGTTGAACAAGAATGGATGAACTAACAGTGAAATGAGTACAAGTAGGAAACCCTAGAAATGTGTACCCCCTATAGGCTAACCCACTGTAGCCTAAATAACTACAACAACATATATAATGTTTGACACCCACATGCTGGGGTCGGGTAAACCGAAGGAAACTGATAGTGACCGAGTGGGCGGCTATAGCACGTCCGAGATTTTCGGAGGCGAACTGCTACTGCAACTGCGACTGCGGATTTCCGGGGTTAGATTCGAGCGACAATTTCGGAGTTTGTCCGTGGGACTTACAGGTTTTACGGCAAGGAGCGCCGACAATTTCGGAGGAGCATTCGGCGTTTGGTTAAAAGCGCGCGACATTTACGTGGGGCAACAGCGCGGGAACTACACGGATGTTTTCAGGGGTACGAACGACTTACGACGAACTGGAGGTGGCAGCAGCAACAGTGGAGGGGGGGAGAGACAGCTGTAATTTTTCATATCTGCTCAGGAGTCATCGGCTGATTACGACAAAGGGTTCGGCGAGTCTGGACAAACCCGCCGGAGGTGGTGACGTCATTCGACACGGATACAGCATTCGGCAAATTCGACCAGAGTGATTTTCGGTACGGTTACTACTTTGACGACCTTCGCCATCTCTCGTTATCACGTTCGCTGCCAATCGCCTTCGATCGCCGACTTTGACGACACTCGTAACATTCCCGATTTTACGGCCAGAGGATTTCGGGATACTACCGCTCCAACTCTACTAGCGACAAACCCATCCACCCGACCAGCCCACGACAACTGCATTTATTTCTGACCATGTCAGGTGCTGCCAGCTGCAACTGCTGAAGATACTGCAGGATTCTGGCACGTGAAGACAACACAGGTTCAGTTCGAGTATTCGATAACATGAATTTCGGTTTTCGGGCTACATCTTCTGGTTCGTCCCCGACGATTTTTGGGGCACATACTACTTGGTTTCGTCATCGACTTTCCACACCGTCGCAATTTCACCCGGCATTCTCCGCTCCACGGTTCTCTCAGTGGGACTTCACATCTGGTTTTGTTGGTTTTCATCTCGGCGCAGCTGCGGGAAACTTTCTGGAGTGTTTTCTTGGAGGGGGGGAGAAAGTGCTGTGCACTGTTCTTTCCTTGGCGTTTTCTTGGTCCTTTCTGACTTTGTCAGTTTGCGTCAGCACGACGGACGCTCGCGATCGCACCGATACAATCAACGGTTTCTGCTACATCGCGATTGAATTTCGCGTCAGCAGCTTCCCCCCAAACTCGCAACTGCTTCGACCGTCAGATCTACATTTGCTCGATCAACGGCCCACATTCCAACCTCTACTTCATATTGGGCCAGTTCATCTTCGACCGTCAGATCAAAATCGTACTTCATCAACGGCCTACATTCCAACCTTTTCAAAAAAATTGTCAAAGGCATTTCAGCCGTCGGATTCAGCTGAAGGGGAGATCTACGGCATCCTTGCTAGTGTGGGGCCTGTTTTCAGTATAGGGCTGCCTTATTTAGAAGGTGGGAGAGTGTAAGGATTTACAATTCCTTACTGAGGCACTCGTTAGCGAGGCCATCCCGAGGTTCACGCGACGAACCTGACCTTCCTATTTCGTCGCACCGAGCCACTCCCGAATCGGCCTCCGCTCCAATTGCAACCATCACCGAGCCATCTCGCCCAACCTCCCCGCCTTGCTAGGACTTCCCCTATTTAGGCCTCGTCACTTCCATTGAATTCAGTACTCAGTTCATTCTTGATATTCGTTTTACTGCGCACTCTGCAAGTTCATTCATAACACAAACAAACAAGAGATTTTGCAATCAACAAGCTTCTCTAGCTTTAATATATCATCATCACATAGCACATATGCCTCATCCACTCGATCTACTCCTCCAACTAGGTACCCACACCCTAGTTGGGCTTCTGAAAATCCTTCTTTCCAGAAGGTCCAGCTCCGCCTGGCTTAGGCTTCCCAGAATACTTGATAGCATTCTTATCACGGCATTGCTTTATGACGTGCCCCATCCTTCCACAGCCTCTGCACTGCTTGTCGGAGAAGTCCGGCTTGTTAGGTCCATGACCTCCCCCTCCGTTAGGCCTCTTGGCCTGTGGGCCAGGCTGGTGATCACGCTGCTGGAAAGGCCTTTTGTTCCAACCGCTTCCACCCTTCGCATTCTGGGGCCGGTTCCCATGACCACCAGAGCCCTCAGCACGGGGCTGCAGGCTTGTCTTTTCGGGGCCAAAAATGTACGTGCGAATGATGTTGTCGGTTTTGATCACCTGCTCCTTCATCTCCTTGTAAGTCGTCCAATTGGTCATGCCGCCGGTCATGTGTGCCTGCTGCAGGTTGACAGGGAGGCCCTTCATGAAGATGTGCATCATCTCCTCCTCAGCCAAGGGCTTTTGGAGCAAGCGTGCTGCGGCCTCAAACTCGACCACATATTCCTGCACCGAACGGTCATGACACTTGATACGCTCAAGGCGTCCGCGCAGTTCTAGGTTGGACTTTTTGACCATGAATACCTCTTTTAGCGCGGTGCAGAACTCTGGCCATTCAAACGGTCCCTGTGCCTGCTTCTTAGCACCATACACGGCCCTGCGGGCCACCTCGTCCAACGCACGAGTAGCTGCAGTGACGCGAGCCTCGGGGCGCACATTTGCAAGGATCATGGTGGAATCCACCAGGTCGAGCCAAGGCTGCACCTCCGTCCTGTTATGGTTAAATTCAGGCAGAGGCGCCGCGAGAGACCCAAAGGGCGAGGTCCCAGTTGGAGGTGGCTGATGCATAGCCGTCGCAGCACCTACCGCCGGGGGTGCGGGCGGAGCGGGTGTCGGCTGAGCAGCAGGAGCGGATCTACGCCCAGAAGGAGGTTCGTAAATACCCTCCCTCCTAAGATGTGTCAACTGCTCATTGAACTTGTTGAACGATGCATGCAGATTCTTGCAAGTCTTCAGAAGCCACTCAATTTGGCGTTTTTTAGTGCCCAGGCTGCGACGGAACTCTGTAACCTCCTTCATGGTAATGCTCAGTCTAGCCTCGAGGTTCTGAGTGTGCTTCTTGAGTCCATCAATGGACGTCTGCTGCTGCAGGATGGTGATATTCTGAGTTGCCACCTTAGCCTGGAGTTGGACAATCTCCTCGGAGATAGGATAAGTCATGCCTTCACCCTCAGTGAAGTCATTTTCATCACCAGTGGCCTCCTTTCCACCGGTGTTATCCTCTTCCCCAAGGTTGTCAGCGCCACCATGGTTCTCAGCTTCACCATGGTGCTCAGCTTCATCATGGTTCTCAGCTTCACCATGGTTATGCTCATCTCCAAGGTCCAGGTCCAAGTCCTCAATATCATCCAACTCAATGTCAGCCATTGCCGCATCTTGATTGAGGTCAATCTCAGCAGCATTGTTCACCACCTCATTAGGTGCAGTGGGCCCTTCCTCCCTTGCCATATCCTTCTCTTGGCCAGATGCCATAAGGATTAAGGGAGCTTGTAAGATCTGGGTTGATTCTGTTAAAGTCTTTTTACCACCTCAATGGTAAAGCAAGAAATTCTTATAAAAGAAATTTCTTCTACAGAATAATCCAAGTTACCCAAGGTAACAGATTTGTTGTCAAGCACTCCCAATCACCTAAGTGAAAGGGCAGGGTCTATCCAAATCTCAATGAAGAGAACTTGTATAACCCTCAACAAATCCTCCGGATCCAAGTTTATACTCCACTACTCAACAGTAGAGAGTCTTCCACCAAAAGGTGGGCAAGAGAGATAAATCTCTCTTCTTAGCTTGAAATTGCAGTTGTAGATCTTGTAGATATTGAACTCTTCAAGCTTCCAGATCTTGAGTGTTCTCTTAAATAGAAACCACAACTCCAAGATCTATATAAAAAAAAGAATCTATAGGGCAAAATCCCCACTAGGCTTAGGATAACCCTAGCTCTAGATACCAATGTAACAATCATGGCCCTTAGAACAACGGGCAACCGTGTGTTAAATATAAATCACCCTTGACAACATTTATAAAATCAAGATACAAGGCTTTCAAGATTAACTAATCCCACCAAGGGGTAATTTAGCCTTGATAGTACTCCTAAGCTTGAGAGGAGAAAGGGAGCTTGAAGAAGGTTGATGAAGCTTTAATAAGTAGGTAGGAGCTTCTTGTAGAGCTTGTCCTTGAAAAATCACAAGTCTAGTTGTGTAGGGGAGCTTATTAGGAGAACCCAAAAGACTTGGAGTGAAAATCCCATTTCCAAGTTAGATTGTTGGAGTTGGGAAGTGGGAATGAGCTTGAGAGCTCCAACCCCTTCCATTATACCCCTTGGGGCTTTTCCCAACCATGGCTTCCATGGTTGGGGAGCTAATAGGCTTGGAGCCTAGGTGGCAATTTAGTTTTGTTGGGAAAAACCCAACTTAGCACAATTGTATGGCTGTTTTAAGTTTGTGTGGATTGTAACAACAACTGGCACAACTTGATTGGTTGGAAATCCAACCTTTCCAATCTTCACTTTGATGGGTTGGAAGTTTCCAGGCCTCAAGGTTGAGGGTTGGGAAAACCAAACCAATGTTCTTCTCCAACTCAACCTTCCCGATTGCCTTCACGTCATTTCTCATCGAGGAAGTCTCTCGATGTTGACTTAGGAAGTTAGCGGTAGATGAGGCAGAGTAGGTTATGCGTTACATCGCGCGTCGCCACTTTCGCGGCCAGTGGCGACATCGAAGCTGTGCGAATGGCAAGATCAACTCATCAACCGATCTATACCCTAGTGCGCGAGCAAATCGCAGGTTCGACTTGCAGCATATTACTCCTAGAAATGGACCTAATAAGTCGTCCCGCGAATGCTTTCAATCTCGCTCTGGCGGTAGCATGATAGTTGAATTCGTTCGGTTTGGAATTGGAATCTCAGTGCCCAGGGCCTATTCACGATCGAGTTCGCGAGTCCAGCAAAACCAAGACGTTGAATTCGTTCGGACGGGACACACAGGGTTCGTGAAGGTAGTGGTTCAAATGGGCGAACCTCAACACATATATGAGCTGTAACATATTGTTACCCAAATTGGAAATGCGAACCAGCATATAGAGCGGCTCCTTGAACAGGAATCTGTGATGTCCGAACCCAGTGATGCGATGCCTTCAGATCATGTGACGTGACTATATTGAAGTGGTGCCATTTCTCTCACCCTTGCTTCTCATCCCTTAGGGATGATGACGTAACGTACTAGAGCGCCTTGGAAGCGTCGCGCGGTCAGATTATCGAGTGCATCGGATTGGATGATGCCAAGGGCGATGCACAACAACTGTAACAGTGTGGCAGTCGAATGCTGCCAAGTACAGTGCAGGTGGGCGGAAGTCAACCGCCACCTCACCCAAACCTCCGATTGGTCAAGCGCCTCAACCTGCAGCTGGGCGACCAGGTCCTGACGCGCAGCCCAACTCAAACCCTCGCGCGAAAATTACGAAACGCAGAACACCCAAGTTCTGACGCCTCGCCGACTTCGTCAACCACGCCGACGAAGTTACAGCCCCGTAATCAAACTCGCCGACCAATCCCGCATCACAATCAATCTCTGAATTTCACGGCAAGGTTCATTTCAAGGGGTAGAGTTACCAATAAAAAATTCAGAGTGTCGCGACTTGGTAGTGCGACTCGATTTGTGAATGCGCCATATCAAATTGTGTGTGAAATTTGTTGAAGTCATAGTGCAATTTCCAGAGAACTCCAGAGAGCACTCTATACTCGTTTTCCTAGACTACTAAGGCTGCTACTTCCCTGCCAGCAACGTTTCACTGGTATCAGAGCCTGGTTAGTCACTTCGCACGCTCCTGCCATATTCTAGACCCTATGGCTGGGCCGTCGGATATGACTCCGGAACTCTGGAACGAGTTTGTTGCCAATATGCGCCGAACGTGAGGTGCGTGACCGGATCCTCGGCGAACTCCAGGAACGTGGACTCCTGGGCACACAGGTGCCGGCGCCAGCACCTGCTGTGGTCTCTGCACGTCTGAAAGCACCTGAACCTGAGCCGTTTGTCCCTGGAAAACGAGACTTACCTGTGCGAAGGTGGCTCTTCCAAATGGAGGAGTACCTTTCCCTGTGCCACGTGAACCAAGCCGAATGGGCACGCCACGCCGGCATGATGTTGCGAGGTGCTGCTGCTACTTGGTGGCAGAGCTGCCACGCTACAATTTCAACCTGGGAAGATTTTTCAGCATCGCTCACCATGAACTTCGAACCTGTCAACGCGATTGAACGCGCTCGTGACAACCTCGCTGCACTACGCCAACACCGCTCCGTAGCCGAATACGTCAACCGCTTCCGGGAGTTGGTGCTGGAGATTCCCGACATCCCTGCCTCCGAGCAGATGGACAAGTTCAAGCGCGGGCTGAAACCAAAAATTCGCACCGAAGTGGAGCTTCGCGAATGTACGTCGATGGACGATATGATCCGTGTGGCGGAACGCTTCGACACGATCAACTTCGCTGCGTTCCAACGCTTCAACGGCATGATGGGTCACACGAAACACGCTCCAGCTGCTTGTGCAAATGGTCCTACACCCATGGAGCTGGGAATGATGGAGAGGCAGCCGCGAAATGCTTCAAACGTCATGTGCTACCAATGCGGGAAGATTGGGCACATCAAGCGTAACTGCCCGAATCGTCGCAGCCCAAACGAAGGACGGGGAAACGGACAGTGCCAGTAGCAGTGGGGCAGACCTCTGGCGCGTCACATGCCCCGCTTCTCCCGACCCCATTATTCATCGGCACCTCTGAACTCTACACCACATCAAACGCTCCATTCCCCGCCATCATTCTATACGCAAAAATAAAGAATCGCTACGTTGACTTTCTGCTCGATACCGGTGCTTCCGCTAATTTTCTCTCTCCCTCAATTGCTGCTGAACTTTCTCTCCCTGAAGATCCCAACAGCAACCTGCAGGACGTGATCATGGCAGATGGTACCCGGCGGCGCTGCGGACCTACCCTCCTCCCCGTGCATTGCATGTTTGGAAGTCTAGAGGCGATGGTCACGTTCGAGAAGCTGCACCTCGAGGGGTACGAAGGCGTTATCGGTCGGCCATGGTTGCACCAGTTTGGACCGCGGATTTATTGGCGCAACGGAACTGTCACCGTCGGCAACTACGACCTTCCATCCCACTCCTTTCGCCGACCATGGTCATCCCCAACCAGTTCAGCTTCATCAACCCATCCACCCCAACCTGCCCCATCTCCATCTTCCCATATCCCCCCTCTCCCTCCTCGCATAGCTCCCGCGCAGCAGCCAACACCACCCGGCTCCCCCGAAGTGATCAACACACCTCCTTCTCCACCCCACCCAACCCAGCAGCAGCCACGACGTCCCATCATCCGCCCCGCCTCTGAAGTTATCAACCCACCAGGCCCCACCCCTCCTTCACCACCTCCTCCTCATCATCTCCTAGTCATCTTCACGGCTCCCGAATCTGAAGCATCAGCTACTTCTCTGCCCCCAACCATACAGAATCTGCTCAACGGCTATACGGATGTGTTTCCCGATGATCTACCCGCCGAACTTCCACCCGAGCGTGCCATTGACCATAGCATCCGCCTCATTCCATGTTCTACACCGCCCGTGCGCCCAACCTATCGCATGAGCACCGCTGAACTTTTGGAACTACGACGACAACTCGACGACCTTCTTACGAAGGGTTTCATCTGCCCCAGCACCTCACCATACGCTGCCCCCGTGCTTTTCACTCGCAAGAAGGAAGGTGACCTGCGCCTCTGCATCGACTACCGCGCCCTCAACGCCATCACTATCAAGAATAAGTACCCGCTGCCCCGTGTCGAGGAGTTGTTCGACATGCTTGGGGAAGCAACGGTTTTCAGCAAGCTCGACCTACGCTCCGGTTACCATCAGATTCGCCTTGCCGAAGACGACGTCAACAAGACGGCGTTTCGCACCCGCTACGGCCACTTCGAGTTCCGAGTACTTCCGTTCGGCCTCACCAACGCACCAGCCACGTTCATGGGACTCATGAACGACATTTTTCGGCCCTTCCTCGACCGATTTGTCATCGTGTTCCTCGATGACATCCTCATTTTCAGCAAGTCACTCGAGGAACACGCTCAGCACCTACGCATCGTCCTCGACACGCTTCGCCAACACCGCCTCTACGCCAAGCTCTCCAAGTGCACCTTCGCCCGTTCAAGCATCGGCTTTCTCGGCCATGTCATCAGCTCCAAGGGCATTGTTATGGACCCCGCAAAGGTTCAGTGCCTTGCTGATTGGCCAGCCCCATGCACGGTAGCGGAGCTGCAAAGTTTCATCGGCCTCGCCAAGTATTACCGGAAATTCATTTTCAACTTCTCTCACATCTGCGCCCCTTTGACCGATCTCTTCCGTCAAGGAGCTGCCTTTCAATGGGGACTACCACAGCAGACCGCTTTCAACTCAATCAAATCAGCACTCACCTCTGCACCAGTCCTCACCGTCGCCGACC